CAAACCCTCTAATATAAAAGCCTTAGAGTTTTGAAAGTTGGGTATTTTATTTCGGTCTTTAGGTGTCTTGCACCATATCAGTTAACAAACAGTTTCTAAATAAAATTATACTTCCCTAATTGGCAGGTATTATTAGTAGTGCAGAATAGAAATATTAGGATATTATCAACAGTCAAACCTTCCATATTTGTTTTTTTCATATGTGAAAATTTTAGGCGCATTTTCATGTGATCATATTCAGGCCAAATTATTTTGCCTCAATTTTAGATAAAAATTCCTTAAAGTAAAAGTATCACATTGCTTAAAGCTAGAGTCGTTTTCTGTCCGTTATTAATTTAAACTAAGTACTGCAAACGCGCCTACCAGGATCTGTCCTGTATTTATTCGGGTAGTACAGACTAACAGTTTGTTCCAAAATGTTGCCAAAACATGTGAGAATGCTTGAACATTATTACATTGGTTTAAATTCAAGGCGTATACATTGTAGGACTTAATAAAACAAAGTCCAAGTTTTAGTTCTTTTGCTTACCATACAATATGAACGTGAATATGAATGAAAATTCTTTGACAAGTTAATTACATAACAGGTTTATTACTGTTCTGTCATGGAAAATGAACAATTCCGATTTAGCAACATCCTTCAGAAGGAAATTAAATTGACGCCCCTATTGAATATTTTGATTTCTGTTATTTGTTTCTGATTTCAATCAACCTGGTAAGGCCAAATATATGATTTTTTAACAAATAGGACAAGCTGACTATATTTAATATTGATTAATATTAATGATAAAAATATTATCTGAACATAAGCTATATTCATGTAACAAAAAATTTTGTTACAGACTGTTATTTGGGTGCAATGTTTGATATGCTCCCTTCCGCATAATTTAAACCTTCATTTTCAAACATGACTAAAGCATTAGAACGGTCTTAATGACTTAAGTAAAATTGTTTCTATTCATGTCGCGTGCAATTTTTGAATAATCTCCGAGTGTCTCCATATTAACTGTTATGGAAAAGGTGCGTACATCTTATAGTTGATTTATCTGTCCGACACGTGAGCACTTTTGGTTTGTTACGTAATGCTACAGTTGAACCTCGTTATACCGAAATGCGTTATATCGTTATATGCAGGCATCTCCCCTCTTTATCTTTAATATTTAAAGTTGATCTTATTACGAAGTTTGATAGTAATCTTGTTATTCCGTTACTGAAGTCCAGAGTGCAGAATTTTTGTATACGTTACTAGACAAAATTTTCAGTTCTGTATACTGACTGGTTATAACAGTAAATTTCATGATGCTGGCATTCTAATACTAATAATGCAATTTCACATATATGGTATATTGTCATTCATGGAAGCGTAAGTAAAAATTACATAGCAGAAGCAATCTAGAGTAGTTTTGTTTTTGGTACTTATTTTCTTTATTTACAAAAGCTTCGGTATACCGAATATTACTTGACTTTAGTCTAAACATTGTTACAAAGAGAGTGTCTCGCTTTACCGAATTCTCGTTATAACGAATCATAGATGCCTTTCCGGCTTCGGCTCAACTGTATTATGAAACAACGCCTATATTAAAACCTATTATTACTAACAAAAACACCACATTAAGCAAAGTTTAATTAGAACAAGAATATAATCAATGATACCTATACTCTCCAGGTCAAGAAAAAATTACTTATGAAATTTACAAGAAAAGGAACAAAAAATAATAAATAAAAACAAGATAATGATGTACCTTTTTCTTGTATTTTATTTTAAAATGTGATCTCACTAACACAATAGGCCTGTTCAATTCTGTTCGACGGCAAAATTGTATCAATCAATCAAAAATCCGTGAGAATTGAGGACAAATTTCGCGTTTCCCCGTTCCGTTGTTTTTCTTTTCACTCCAAGATTTCAAGTGTTATTCTTTACAAAATGTATATTTTTAAAAGCCATTAGAACCCTTTTGCACAATGTAACCTTTTTTTTTTACACTTATTAATAAAACGTTTGTGGATGAGGATGGGAACAGATAGGAACTGCAAATTTGTTGTTCCCATCTGTTCCCATCATGTGATTTTTAAAAGAAATGAAAGCAGATTATCTCCATAGTGATCTTTCTCAAAGCCGTCGTGCTCGGGTTCTAAGCAAATTTCGTCGCCAATCAGGGATTGGCACAAATTGAACGGAACAGAATTGAACAGGCCTAATACCTTTATTTTGCTGGTTAGACGCCAAATAATATTTTCAAGTGTTTTTTCTATTTTTTTCGAATGTGGTTTATTCCAGAATGTTCGAAATTCGTGTCGATTCGATTACTGCTTAATATTAATATTAAGAGGTTTGGAGGCTAAAGCGAAGCAGTTTTATTGGTGGGTGCAAATTTGGCCAATGGAATTGCCCGCTGTAGATATTTTGTTACACCGAATATCATTAATTAATAGCGCATATCAAGATAAAAAATTAATTTGCATATCTTTTAATTCATTTTTTCATACAAATATCCATAAAAGTATACCATAATAACATTCTATTATAGAAAGTATGATTCTACCTAATTAACAACAACGTAACATTTACAGTTTATTGAATTTATGCCAACTTCACTAACGGTGTTGGATTCTTGTACTATGGCAGCGTATCATAAAATTATGTTTCAAATTATCAGTAAAAGAAATATGAGATATTTACATATCATGCGGGATATAAACATAAAGTACCACGAAGCAATATTTAATCTATATACACAGCTCACCTTTGGGGCAATATACAAAGACATCTCCTAAATCAGACAATGTTATATACGTATGCGGGAAAATCGAAGAGAATGTGTAGTGATTAGTCAAACAATGCCCATCTGAATGGATTATATTTTGCATATCTATAGAAAATTGCCTTTAGATTTGTATAACTGTAATCATTCAACGCGAAAATGGGAAGCTTTGGAAAAGGTGGTTAATTGAAATAAAGGAGAAAGGCGACATATTCGAAAATTTTGCGAATCACGACATTTTCATTAATCATCAATTAACGTAATGTCGTTTAAGGCATGTTGTCACGGTGCATTGATAACAATGAACCACATTTCTATTGGGCACTTCTCGTCTTATTCTCATCCGCCAATCCGTCTGCATGCGGTAAATTTTTTGCCGCGGCAGCATTATTACAGCCCTTAACTAAAATGTGTCTTTTCAAGGCGTCCTTACGACTGAACTGTTTCTCACAATGAGTACAGGGATAGGGTTTTACAGCAAGATGAATCCTTTTGTGGCGCTTCAGATCATGGTTACGATTAAAACCTATATACAGAAGGTTGATGTTAGCTCATTTTCCCCGGGACGCATGCACGAATTGAATACAGAACACGTGACCATCATAAACAAATCAGCACTTACTTTGTGGACATTGATCACATTTGAATGGTCGGTCATAGAGAGGCAGACGAGAATGATAGCTCTTGGGTGGACCACTATAAGAGAACATTGGCCGTGAAGTCATAGTTGCGAAAGAAGCCGTTGAATTGACAGGCGTAGGCGTTGCTCGAGAAATCGTAAGAGCAGTCTTGTTCCATGTAGAATTGAGATGAGGATGCATAACAGTGTTCGTCGCATCAAAAGCTGAAGAGATCGTGGAAGATATTGCTGCAGATTGCATTCGAAATGTTGGTATTTGTCTGAGAAACATGGAATCACTGTCCGGTTGCTGAATGTAGCCATGTACGGATGGCATAGAGAAGGTATCTGGTTTCGATGTCTGTGATTTCGATTGATGTGAAGTTAATAAAGGAGCTTTATGATGTTGATGTTGATGATGATTATGATGTTGGTGGTGGTGATGATTATTATTATTATTACGATCAGACAAGGACACAGAATAGGACGGTCTCTGATTCAGAAAACTCGGATTGAAATTGGCAGCGGGGGCCAAGTCGTTTATCGTGAGCATCTGTTGAGATGATGCCGAAGGGACAGGGATGTCTGCAAGATTCATAAGTCTGTTTTGGGAAACAGGGCGTTGTTGAAATAGGCCTGACTGTTGATGGTAAGCGGGTGCAGTGGTGGTAACATATCTTGATGATTCTATACTTATTGGAGAAGTTTGAGTATTACTTAGAACCGCATTATTTGGGGCTGATGTTAACACAGTTGTAGGGAAATAAGATGATTGAGGTGAAACAGGAGATGCGTTTGGACTTGGAGTGATGCCAAAACAGGTTCCGGCCGGCTCTATGAAGGAAGATGTTGTTAAAGGTACGATTGAAGAAGACCGAGTCAGGTCGGGTTGAGGTTGAGGTTGATGTGTCATTTGGAAATAGTTCTGTCGCGTGTCCTTAGTAATGGTTGCGTTGCCGACAATTTCCGTTTTCGGTTGAACGTGCTCCTGTTGTAAAGTTGGCAATAAAGGAGACGAAGAAGAAGAGTCGGTGGTGGTTGGAGAGAGGAGAGGAGGTAGGAGTGTAGATTGGAAGTCAATATAGTTAACAGAGGATGACTGTGGTTGTCGTGGTAAGTCGTCGTAGTAACAATCGTAGTTGCTGTACGAGCTGTAATGATCAAGTTGAGTAGAGAAAGTGACAGTAGATGAAGGAGTTTGAGAGAGATGATTTTGAATAGGGACCTGATTGCGTAGACAGTCAAGACGTTGGTCAAAGCTAATAGAAGGGACGACATCAATCATTGCTGAAGATAGAGCAGTATCTTAGTTGAAGATTCTGATGATCGGAGTTTTTAGAATAGTAAAATGAAGTCTTTAGAAGGCATTCAACTTGGAAGATACCTCTGTGTACTATATGGAGTGTTGATGGTTGATTAAAAGAGACAAGATGGCATTTTTAGTACACACCCAAGTCTTGAGGAAATATTCAGCTTGGGGAATTCTCTGTGTTATATGCAGTTGAAGGGTGATTCAGAAAGCTAGCATTTATAATAGTAGTACTAGTACAGTTGTATTATTAAGTTCAATGGCTGTATATAATATGAATCACAAATCTTCAAATAATACTTGTAGTATAAGAATATAAATACAAATTATATTGTGAAAATTACCCACAACGATTTAATTATACAAGTTTTTAAATAGCATGTATATATATTTATAATAAGCATTTCGTAAATTAACTGTATTGGTCATAGTATTTGTGTGTAATCAAGTCAAAGTCTATTTATTGAACTGTATAATTGATACATATATATATTAAATTAGTTAACATGCACGGCGTCATGAACATACGATTTGCAGTGTGTTGCACAGAGATTTTATAGGCGTTAGACAACAGAATCGGAACATCAGCTCATCCCATATAATTATTAATCATAGGTTATCACGCACATTGTTGCGCCATTGTTCTGGATCTGCTCCACAGACAAATTTGAAATTCGGAAATAAATGGAAGTTTGTGTCGTTGTCATTCCACAAAAGGCAGAAAACAATATGAGGAGACTTCGGAAGAGACTTGCTTGAATATGGCAATTAAATTGTACAGTTTTATTCCCACTAGTACAATAAAAGTCACATACTTATTTCCTAAAATGACAATCTTTAAACAAAGAAGAATATTTATATAATCTACATACAGTAGATGTTGTAGCATCGAATGAATAATAGTAGTCATTGTTCTAAACCGATTATACCCCAAGCAATCTACTATTAATAGAAGATGAAAATTATAAACAGCCGCGAAAGTATCAATTACTAATTAACAAAACGCCGTAGTATTAATAATAATCACTACAACCATTGACGTTTTAATAGTTAATTGTTGGCGTACTCGGACGGGTAGACGTTTTTTCTCATGCAAAAAAACCTTCAAACCGTCAATACTATTTCACTTATTCAGCTAAATTTGTAATATTTTTTGCAACAAAGGTGACATGGTACCTTCGTGATTAGTGTACTGTCAAGATAATTTCCAAATTGTCGGTTCAACCACTGGCTGTATTACAATAACCGTCAATTGAGATTCAAAAGATTTATCTATCTGGTTGTGGAACGGCTGACAAAAACTCCTATTAGTAACTGGTACCAAACGGAGATTATCTTTGATGGGGAATAAGTTATAACATTCATACACATCAATTATACCATTTACAAGCTCCATTATTGGCTATCGTGTATTTCCATTCGGAGAATTATGCGTCGTCGTATAGATCAATTGAATTCTTATGCATTACGTCAATGTAACGTGATATCTATTGTAAGCACTAATAACTATTGCGTTAGCGATAACTATCGCGAGTAACTCTTATTCACAACAAGGTGCTCGCTAAAGTAGCAGTTTAAACTGTTTTTATCTATCTACAATACATGCAGAGGAAGAGAATAAAGGCTCGTGAGAAGGGGCTATTGGGATTCGGGGGAGATGCGTTGCGTTAACGATATCGTGTATTCGCGTTCTTGTGATTGTAAACACATGACCCTTAAATATCCGCGTCAAATGGACGTCACCCGACTGCTAAATTTAATTCTAAGAAAATTCTATATTTTTTTGCTTTTCGAGAACATTAGCATAATGAGCAATGCAATTGCCGCAAAACTAATATTGAACTTAGCGTACCTTATACGTAATATATGGCGATATGTTAGACAGTATAATTGTAAATTTACCTAGAGACTTTATCTTACCGAAAACGTTATAATTAGGCTATGCACTTGAATATTTAAAAAAAACTGATCCACGTATACTTTACACAAATTTATATTCATACGAGCGCAAAAAGAGCGCTATTATATTTGCAAAAATTGCCGAATATCTTACCTTTTTGCTGAGAAATCGAATTTTGAATTCAGGGTACCGTTCGGTAGTCTCTAAATTTACGATTAAATATAAAGTTGACATAACGAGCAATGCAATTACCATGAGACTAATACTAAAGTCAGCGCATTAGTGTACAACGTAATTAAAACCTGTGGTGTGTTAGCTAGTAGTTAGTAATGTAATAAATACTATATGACTAATTTTTATGTCACAAAAAAGCTAAAACTTTAAAATATCAGAAATTTTAATTCATATAATAATAAGAAATGTACACAATTTTACATCCATTCAACAGCGCTGGAAAACTTGCTATAGAATACAAAAAAGTTTGGCAAATATCTTGATTTGTTGGTGAGAAACTAAAGTTTAAGTTTATTTTGTTTCTCTACGCCTTGAATGACTTCGGACCATTGCTGCCAATACAATGTGGTCTAATAACATTATCCACCTACACACTTAAATCTTCTAGTGGAAAATGGCTGAACGACAAAAGCTTACTGAGTTTGAATGTGTTCTTATTATTGGAGGGTGGTTATTTGGTTACTCTTAACGAGAGGTTGCGGGAAAAACTGGTCATCCAAAAGTCAACAATACGTACTGTAAAAATGTACAGCGACTCCTGTTCCACACCACCAATCCTGACAAACAGAGATAAAATGACTTGAAATAACTGTTCGAACCAATCGTCGGCAGCTACAAAACAATTAATTAAAATTGCTGTTAGTATAACGGCCGAGTTGCCGCTCGGAAATCACTTATTCGGGTAAATAAAATACAAGAAAAAGGTACATCATTATCTTGTTTTTATTTATTATTTTTTGTTCCTTTTCTTGTAAATTTCA